CATAAAACTAAATTGTGAAAAATTAAAAATCAGAAAGAGAATAATCAAAAATATTTTTCATAATTTTTTCAGATTTTTTGGACTAAAAATGAATTTTCTATGATTTTTTGAAATTTAAAATAATTAAATATAAAAATCAGAAAAGAAAATAAAAACCAAAAAGATGTGGACCAATGAATGAGAGTCAAAACATATTAGTAATCAGATCCAAGGGATCTGACGCGCTGTGCATATCATGGTCATTACTAAATATCACACCGGATCCAACATTTTTAAAATAAAACAACTTAAAATATGGCGCATTGGATGGAGTCTGACTCACAAAAGTAATCAGATCCAAGGGTTCCTGAGGCACGCGCATTGTAAGGAAAGCATATTGTATTCATTTCAAAAAAATTACGTGGCTTTATGTCATTGGTTGAAGACGGACATGTCATCGTCTTCAACCTCCAACCATCCTCAAATTGAATCTTCCAAACTGTAAAATTAGCAAACCAGACCGGTACCATTAGATTCGTCTCTTCAAGACGATTCTAATGGTACCATCGCGCCAAATTTATATAAATTATGCAAGGCTGTGTTTGGAAAAAAACAGAAAAAATAGCGAGCACAAAAATTTGGGATATCTTGCTCAATTTTCAATGAAATTGCAAACTATAAAGAGCACGAGGATCAAAAGAACACAAGGAGTGGGTTAGTCTTTTATTTGAATCAATTTGGCCAAGAAATCTACCTGGACGAAGTAGTGAGAAAGTGCTCTGAAACTTAACTTCCACAAATCATTATTGGTCACAATTCTTGAAAGTAACCGTATGGTTAGCTTCAGAGAAGTTCAATGAAGCTAACTGAGTGGAGCTTTTGGTGTTTTAAGGTGAGAATGTAAGAAATCAGAATTTCAAATTTAGAGTTCGTGTGGGATCTGAACAGGGATCAATTGGCTATCAAAACCTTGAAAAAAAGAGTGAGGGATGATCCTTATTTATAGCTGATTATGATGCAAGGCTCAAGCTTGTGAATTGGAGGCAAAATGAGTGAAATTGTGTGGACCTGCTAAATGTGAAAATTCTGACTTCACATGGCTCAAAATGCAGCAAATTGGATAGTTTAAGGGTCATTTCTTGTTATGGCAAGTTCCTAAACATGATTAGACACGAAATTGATCTTTAAACAGGCTTGTAATTGGATTTAAACTAATTTTCAAATCTGACTGAATATGGAATTTCCATTTCATGATGCCACTTTCATAACCATAGTGCCAACAATGTAGGGCACCTTATGATGTGATTCTTGAAGCATTTGAAAGATGAAGTCACAAGCTTTTAAATGTGAAAGGAATGAGATCAAATGGATGTTTGAGCAAGAAGTTGCATTGAGTCAAAGTTGGAGAAAAAGGGTTGACTTTCCATACTTAGAAATATTTCAAATTTTTCTTCAAAAGTGACCTATAATGTTTTGCATCCAAACATGGCCTTCCACTTGGAATTTTCTATTGACCAAAAAAGATGGCATGAAATAGACCCTTTGAATGACATTTTGAAACTTGAAAAATTCAAAATATCCAAAAATTGAGAGAGTTATGATTTGTTGAAGTTGGCAAAAAATCATGAAATGACCTATAATCTTTTGTATTCTTAGGGCATCTTCCATCCATTTTCTCACTTTGAACATAAAAGAAGGCATAAAGTTAACATCTTCAAGATCATTATGGAAAAAGAGTGGGATCAAGGTGATAAAAATTGGGATAAGTTATGATCATTTGAAGTCACACATGAGAAATTGGGGGTTCATTCGGAGGACTTGTAATCTTTCTTCTTCATCAAGCTTCTTCCACATGAAAAATCCTTGAAACTTTTGAAGTAATTTATTTATAACTCTTTGAAGAGAAGGGTGTCTTTGGAATCACTCAAAAATACCAAAAGATGAGCATGATATGCTTCTTTAAAGTTCAAAACCCTAGCTCCTAGATCAAGAAAATGCCTTGAGGAGATTTGACAATTTTGAACAAACTTCTTGTACCAACACAAATGCTTTGTAAATAGAAGTTGTTGAGGATGAAAATGAGAACTCATAGTCACCAAAACCACTTCCATATCTTGAGAATTTATAGAAATATTCACTTGTGACCAATGGGAACAAAGCCTTGTCCAAGCATGGCAACTTCTCCAATCAACCCCTTGTACTTTTCAACCAAATTTGATAATCTTGAAATGTGGTGAACCAAAATAACCTTGCCATGCCATTTCTTCCAAAACAACTTCAATTGTGAGGTTTGAACTTCTCTAACCTTATTGCCTAGGGAATGAAAATAAACTCATGAACCCATGGGTCAACCTACCAAGCCAAATTGCCTTGACCTACATTACTAACAAGTAAGACAAACAAAAATTGCATTTTATTAATTAAAGGGAAAAAAATAAAGACAATATATTCATGATCACAAAAGAAAAAACAAGTCAAGGTGCTTGGTAATTCCCCAAAGAGAAAATCTAAAGATAGAGAGGAGAACCAAAAGCCCTAATGTCATCTAGTGGTGATTGAATTAACATGGTATGATGAAGGGATCTTAGGGGGAAAAATTGGGGTGCAAAACATGCGCCCTTGCATCTCCACCGTCAGATCTTATCAGATCTAGATCCAAATAAAACATGTGAGCCGAACTACGGCGCTCTGATTCCTTAAAAGGGATACATAGGCATCTAGTTGTCATACCCCAAATTTGTCCAACCTTTTTACGTTTATATGGCTTAGGTTTTGCATTTCATTTGCATCATTTCCTCTAAATCATTTTCATATCATGCATTCCATCATTCAATAAGGCATTGGTTTAAATAATCAATGGTCATTAAAGCTAGGGCTTCACATTGGTTTTAAGGATTCTACATCAATAAGACTGGTCCTTCTAGTTTTTCTTGTTTGAGCAATGGGGTGTGAGCTAGGGTTTTTATTCATTATTATGGACTTCTTTATCCATCCATATTCACCAAGGTCATCGATCAAATTGTACTTCTCTGTATTTTTCAGAAGATCAGGGTTGCAATCTTTTATGTATGGAGTGAATTAGGGTTTTAGGGTTTCTCTCAGCATAAAGGGCTTTATTGCGTCAGTGTACTTCATGATTAGGGTTCTTATCCTTGGTGTGTGATTTTGTTAGTGTTTATTAATGGAAGAATGATTAGGATTTCCATGACAAATCTTATACATCTTAAAGATACATTTTGAGATCATTGATCATTATTTCAAGGGTTGTTGGTGTGAACTAAAAAGAACAAACCATGGCCCGAGAGATGAAGTTGTGATCAAGGTTTTTTCTTGTTGCATTCAGTACCCGATAATAAGTGTAATACCTCAAATTTATCTCACCCTTTCACTTTTATCTGGCTTACGCATCTTGCATTTTTCATGTACATAATTCTCATTAGGCCATCTAACACATTGTGCATTATTAGTCAATAAATTTAGCACGTGATCAAGGGTATTGAGGAAATTAGGGTTTCTTTATTGCCTAGATATTCTCATCTTAAGTCAAGGTTGAATTTTCTTAATCATCAATTGGGGTTTGTTTCTATGCACTTATGGTTAGTAGATATACCTTAAGGTTTTTGTTATACACTTCTCACAGACCTCCTTCTGAGGCATTCTATTGCTTGATCATCATATAAGGCGTGGATTTGTGGTTGCTTGTAATAATACGAGGTGCTATATTTGACTTCCTTCAATGGCTTAAACATGGAGGTTCTTACCATCATCGAAAGATTGGATCATTTGACTATTTGGATTACAAGTTAATGGCTTTGGATGTTATTTAAGAGAAAGGTTGGAAATGGGGTGAAACTTATGAACTATTTCACGATGGAATACATTTGGTGAAATGTTGGCCAAAGTCCATGTTAAGTTGTGGTTTTCATCTTATCTTGATTAATGCTCGCTGAATTTTGGAAAAATTGAGAAAACATTTGAGAATTCAAATAAAGTGCAAAGTTAATAGGGAAACTTCAATTTTGAATTTTGTCTTAGTTTACAAGACACCAAAAGATCATTACAAAGATGCTACAACTCAAAAATTATCAAGTAAATCACAAAATGTTTTGATCCTAAACCTAATATTTTCTCTAAACTCCATACTCCATACTCCATCTTCAACAAGATCTTTATGCCTTATCTCTTCCTCATGCTTCATCTATCTTCATAGCCATACTGACTTCAATGTTGTTGCACATGGTTGGAATTTTTGAACTGGACCTATATAAGTGTTAGTAGTATTAAATCAGAGTTAAAGAAAACAAAAGAAAATCAGTTACCACATCCATTTAAAAAAAACAGATGTTCAAAATTAAACACAGAATAAAGGCCCTATTAAATTTCAAACTAACAACTTCTAACTACCTATAACAGAAAACCTAACTGACTAATATACTGACAGAACTTTCTAACTATCTCTCGAACTCAAGCCAGCTCATCCTAACCGAATAACAGAACTAGCTTTTCTTCAGTGTAACAGAAAAAGTAACAGAAAACCGAAACTAACAGCTCACACCTTTAACTAACTCATAACCAATTTATTCCTAACCAACTTTCTATCCAAGGGCCAGGAATGATTTAATCTATAACAAACTTATGGAGACCTATAACGGAATTTTTATACGTAAAGGAAGGGAATATTAATACACATCTCAGAGATTCATTATTCACACCAAGACACACAATTATCATTATTCACATTCACAATACAAAAATCCAGAAAAATATCTGAGAATCTCACCACAAAGAAACTCCAAAAAAAAATTTTGTAACAAGCTTCTGTTGAGATTCTTCAATTTCTCTGCTTCATTCTTCAATCTTCATCATTTTTCTTCAATTCCCGCAAGAATCATCACCATAAAATCAATATTCTTAGGATCTTCATCTTAAATATCTATCTCTTCATCAACAATCCGCAAGAATGATTTCTCAATATAACTTCAATCATCATCGCATCCGTAACCTCCCTTACAATACCAAAAATGCAGATTTCAGGAGAATACGCAGAAAACTCTAGAAAGAGTTTCGGAAGGAAAAACTCACAAAAATTCAAAAACTCAGAAGACTCCCTTTCTCTCTGGACCGCATCGAGCCTCTTGAATTCTAAATCGGTGGTGATAGCCTCAATCATCATTATAATTCCACGACGTCACCTCTGGAGATTCAAGTGCGACGAAATCTGAAATGAAAGAACCATAAGAGAGTTTGACAGAGAGTGAAAGAATAAAGAATGAAAGAGAGTTTGTTTCTCATTCTAGGGTTTCAAATATTCGATTAGATTTAAGTCGGTTGAGAAGAAATTTGTGAAAAATATCCGCGGATTCGAGATGAAGGTAGTGAGGCGAAGCTGACCAGACGAGGTTCTTACGTTTTTGGCATCAGCTGTGACGGTCGTCATTGGTGCGGCGGAATTTTGAGAAGAAGAAGATGGAACCATATTTTTATGAGGGAGTCCAACATTCACTTGGTTTTTACCCTAGCAATATACCATTTCATCAAATTCTCTGTTCAATTGATTTTTTGTTCCGTTTTTTTATATGTGTATTACAGAATGGATTAAAATTTGATGGTGGTGTTGGAATGATTGCTTCCTAGCCGAAATTGCTACCATTAAGCCCATCAGTACTAATTCTTGGAAACCTGAAGCTATTGAAACAAAAAAGGGTGTTGGACTTTATGCCTTGTGCCAATTTCTACATCACACATCCGGATTGAGCTCTTACTCCTTTATTTTAGAGTTTAATTTTCTTTTCCACATTAATTTTTTATTTTCATGATTTTTAATGATAAAAATGATACAGAAATATTACAACATTCTAGAATTCTTTAGGACCTCTCTTTAGAATTTTTATTAGAGTTTTCTATTATTTTTATATTTGATAATCATTTTTGTTGTCATTTTTAGCTAAGATTTTGTGATAGAATGTGGATGCAACTTTTGCAATGTGGAATGCTTAGAGACTAATTTGTTTGATCACTTATGTTAAGTAGCCTCTGTAGAGTTTTCTATTTGCTTGCATGATTTTGAAGAGGCAACAGACCTTCTCCATTAGGTATCATCGTGACTTTATTTTATTCCTTATTTCTGCATTTTATTGTATTTCTTTACTACTTTCTAGAGATCATGAGAAGCAAGGCTTTACTGCTTGTCGATGCCATGAGAAGCAGGGTAGAGATGTATGAAAGGGATCTCCATTGCTGATATATGTTAGGAATCCCTCTAGTTTATTTAAATACCCGTTTAAGGCAATTTAATATTGCGTGTCATTGTTTGCTACTTGTGTTTATTTAAAACCCTACCTTTAAAGTAGGTATTTTGCACGTGTGTTTACGTTTATGCCCATACTATTCCTCTATCCCTTATTGAAGTCATCAAGAGGAGGCAAGTGGAAACCGTTCGCAATTAACCCCCTCAATTTCATCCGTGTCATCCTTAGCTCGTGACACACCATGATGCTTTGGAGTTATGCCTACTCTCGTTATCAAGTCGTCAAGTGGAAAAGGGTTTTGCAATCGAACCCCCACACTTTGTCAGGATTTTGCATTGGTCGATGCTGACACTCCATGATTATTTATATTGTCTTCTATCACCTACCACAATCTCCTATATCTTGGTTAGGTGTTCAGTCACTTTGGACATCACATTTTGTTTTTCATCTCATTCCCACTTGTTTGCTTTGGGTGATCCGCTCCCCTTAGCTAAAGCATTTCTCTTCTTTTATATTTCACTCCCACTTGTTTGTCTCGGTTGATATGCTTGCCTTGACTAAAGAATTTCACTTCTTTTCTTTACCATTTTATGTGTGTGCTCTTTCGAGCTTGTTTTCTTACTCGCTTTCTATACCATATTCCCTTAGGATGTGCTTGTTCCTTTCGGGTGCAAGTTAGAGCTTAGGTTGCAAACCATGCATGCTAACATTAGGTAGACATTTCCATTTTGTTAATCCAAATTTTAGGACCATCATTATATTATAACATTAGGATTATAAATATGCTAGTCTCCCATAGACTGTTTTCTTCCCCTTTTGCATATGTATTAAAATTAAAACTTTGTTTTTCTTAGCAAATCATAAAACATGCTAATAACAACAAAAACCCTTTTTCAAGGTAACAAAACACAAACCAATCAAATGTGGCATATTTCCTTGAGGGTGTAAATGAAAACCATTTTCAGATAAGGACATGATTAATTTACTTCCGTGCCAACGCGTGAGTCTCCAAAGGTCAAGCTGCGACAGAAGGCAGAATTAACATTGTTCATAAAAAACACAAAACAAACAAAAACATGTGAGTCGCACTATGGTAACTCTAATTACTCAAAAAGAATACGTAGGCATTGGGGTAAGGCCCAATCGAGCATAACTTTATTTTTTTCTACATTATTTTCTCCTTTCTTTTGCATGCATTCTTCCTCAGTATTAAGTAGTAAGCATAGATTAGACACACCCATAAGATAGATAACAATAGTGGATACCATAGAGTACTATGGGCGTGTGGGGTGCTAATACCTCCCTCTCGTGTAACAGACTCCCTTACTCCATCTCTCGGTCGCAAGACCGTGACTTTTCCCTTCTCAGGTTTTCTCGATGTTTACCTTTCCCTTCATGTGGGATAAAAGACGTTCGATGGTGACTTTATTGTCTGATGATTTTCAGCTGGCGACTTCACTGGGGACAGGTCAACCAATTGCTGGTCCATCCAGGAGTCGCTCCTTGCTCTTGTTCTCTTCTCTTTGGGTGTTTATTTATATGCTTTATGGGTTATTCATTTTGTATATACCTGAGCATATGTATGCATTGCATTTTACTATTTTCCATATACTACTGTTGTACTAGATATGCTTCTTGTTGGGTGGGTGTTACTATGAGGTAAAAGGCCCAATACCTAGGCCAAGTGACAACCATAGAAACCCTAGGAATATGGTGGAACATGAATGGCTAGTTGACTTTGGTTTTACTATTGCCATCCTGTCGTCCATGCTCAGATGAGGTACAAATTAGGGGCTATCATTTTCACTTAGGTGATACGATGATAGTTTTTCAGAAGTACCCTCGATTCTAAGTTACCCGACCTTACCTTGGCCTAGTTTTCACCCGTGAGTGGGGAGGGAATTATTATCACAAGTACAGTTGGTGATTATGTTCTTATGGGGATTGTATGTTCTGTTGGTGACTATGGGGTTCTTAGATTTATTTTCTGAGTTCCTGACTTGTTTATTTGGAGGTTCATTCGGGCCTTCGATCTTGGTATTCCCAACATGTTCAGAAAAGGTTCAGTAGTATCCGATGGCCCAAAAGCCTTGATTCTGTACAATTGATAATCTACATGGCACTTGGTTCTTGCATGTGCGGAAGCTATGACGAGCCTTTGATCTGGTGATATTCATATGGTTTAAAAACAGTGCAACAATCATATTCAGAAGCGATGGAACTTAGATCACATGTCTTTGCATATATAGCATGGTTAACCATATGCTTAACATACATGTTTGTTATTTCCAGGGAATCATATTTGTAAGTCTTGTGCTAAACTCTCCCATCCCTTACTCGCGTAAAATCAAAATCAAAGCATGTAAATTTCTTATAAATGACAGAACATGACATGGCATCTATTCATGCACCCCATGCATATCCATGCATCCATAACAAGTACTCGAGTTGGGGATTCTTATCTATACCTGGTGTTCTCCTCAGAGAATCAGACTTAATTTCTTATTGTATGTGTTCAAAGATCAATATGGAATAACTCTATGGGGGATTGACCGGTACGAAGATCCCGATGAGGGTTGATTGTAGTATACGTGTAAGCTTTGGCCAGAGGTCGGGAATTCTTCGAGAAAGAAGATAATCGATTGAAGACTCAGGTGATCCGGGTCATAGAAGCTCTAATGATGATATCAATAATCCTACACCTACTTCCACAACAGGTTCTCTCTTATCCTCATCTTTTGGGAATCGCTTTCAACCATGGAGTGCTACACAATATTGAGTTATTGGAACATCTTATCAGCAGATGGTTACCATTTACTATGTGAATTCAAGAAAACTGTTTTACCAGCGAGATTAAAATATGCCTGAATTGATCTTATATCAGTGCTTCATTCTCATTGGTTTCCACACTTATTTGAGCTTCAGTGGGTTAGACCCAGTACTTCAGTATCGTCTATAAATTCCCTTTCAGGTCATGATACCAACGTCATATGTGGTTACCACACCGGGGTATATGATTATTCAATCAGGGGCACTCTCCACAGTTTTGTGTTCCCTGATCTATTTGACAGAAACCATTCTTTGTTCCCCAAGTGAATTCACGGGGCAAAGCTTTTAAGCAAAGAAGTAAGAAGCATGATAAGCATGTTGATGCGATCCCAGTGCATTACATCCAGTTATTTCCTTTCCTGGTGGAAGTTCAATTGGTAAAGCTCTGATCTTCGGGTCCTCCTCCCACAAACATCTCTTCTGATTACAACACACATGCTAGATGTGTCCCCTATTCTGGGGCACCCGATTTTGATATTGAAGACTATAAAGGGGTTAAATTATAAAGCCCAACACTTGTCTGACGTCTCTTCCAAAAGTACAATTCCTATTTGGCCAACTGCCGAACTCTTTCTCACCAGGTGGATGTCTCTTCTGTTGTGATAGAAGACGAATTGTATTGTTTCTTTGTGGCATAAGATGCTTGGTGATGCAGTTCTTACCAATTCGCTTGGTAAATCTTTCATTCGTACTCCTGAAAGAATCTTTTATGCATATTATTCTGGGCACCCGACCATTCGATTTAAGATGGTATGTCATCCAGTGACAAGGTCCAAGTCGGTATTAATTCAGAGATTGTTGTGTTCACATCAGATCCTAAGGGGAATTCTCTCGCCATTTAAGCATCAAGAGTGGATAAATTCATCAGAATGAAGAAGTCCATATGGAGTCAAGTCTCCTCAACGATGGCAATCATTGGTTTCTTTACTGCATTTTCATTTGTATTCTTGCTTGTTTGTTTAAGCATTACTTGCATGTAGAATCCTGTCTATTTTTGAATGAAAATATTAAAACAATAAGTATGCTTGTCTTCAAGTGTTCCTTTTGTTTTTATTCATCCATTCGTTATCACTCTTTAAATTTTTTACTTGCATATTGATGCCAAGTTTCCAAGTCTTATGCTTAGGTAAATACTGAAGGGAGGATGACGATAATCTAAAAATGCAAAAATCTCTGGTTGGTATGCTTTTGAGTAAGACCCTGTTAATGATGTGCGTGCATTGTTTCAAATCCCCAAACACGGGAGATATAAGGGACATATACCCTCATTAACCCCCTTTGAGCCTTCAAAGTAGGAGTTTATTTTTTGTTCAGGAAAAAACCCTCATTTCAACCTTGGGGCGGGTAGATTTCAGTTAATCTGATCAAGCATTCAAAAC